GCGACTTGAGGAGCGGCCGGTTGATGCCGTTCATCTTGTGGTAGAGCCCACAGGCGTTGCACAAGTAGTGCCCGGTGCCGTCCTTCCTCCACAGCGGCGTGGACATGGCCCCGCAGTTCACGCACTCCCGGCCGTCCCCGGGGAACTCCTCCAAGTACTCTGCAACCCACAGACCCCCCCCGCCCCGCGGTTAGGGCCCGGCTCCGGCGTGACCCCGGAGTGACACCGCCTGTGGAGAGCGGCCCCGAGCACGCATCCATCCCCCGCGGCGGGCAGAGACGGGCTCCGGGGGCAGGCGGGGAGGACGAGCCCTGACGGGAAGGGATCAGTGCACTACCTGCGGGCACCCCGCTGTCTGTGCCCCTGCATCCCGCCTGCACGCGCGCGTGGAGCGGGGCCCTGCACACGCACGTGGAAATGATGCGCAGCTGTATTGCGCCGGAAGAATCCGCGTGTGCAAACGAGAGGCTCCTGCACCGTGCGCACGCACAGTTCACACGCACGGTGTGCATCGGTTCTCCCCGGGATGACCGCCGGGGATGTGTATGCCCGCGTCCCCTACGCCTGTGTCACACGCGCGTGTGCTCTTGCCGGCGTTGCACGCGCACGTGTATCTGAGTCCCCAGGGTGCCGGCCGGGCTCTAGCCCTGGCCCCTCCACGCACAAGCCCGAAGGCAGGAGCGGCTCTGGCGGGCTGCAGGAGCGCCGTGCCTGTCTCCGCCGTCCCTCCGGCGCCGCAGGACACCCCCAGCTCGCCCGACCCGCCGGATTTCGTTCTTAGTGCCCCAGGAAGCTTCCTCGGGGGCGGCTTTGCCTTGAATTTCCAACCCCCCTCCACCCCTCCATCCACACAGCGGCTCGGACCCCATGCAAAGCTAGGCGCTGGGACCAAAGCCAGGGGGCCCCGGGGAGCTGGGGCTGCCTGGGTGAAGGCTGAGAGTCTGAACTGCCCGCAATCAGCGGCTTTCCCCGCTCCAGCCTGGCCTGTTGCAGACGGGACCTGCCGGGGCAACAGCCATGCAGATGTGCCCAGATGTTCAGGGGGTGGGGGCAGCCGGAGCCCCCTCTTCCCCCCCCCCTCCCCCAGCAAAGCATCATTGCCTCCCAGGGGCTCCCGCGGGGCAGGGGCTAGGCTCCGAGGGTGGAGGGCCCGATCCGGCTTGCCCACGGGGACAGGCTGGGCTGACGCGCCCCGATGGGGTGGGCAGGGGGAGTGGGTGACTGTGCATCCCAGGGCAGCAGGGCCCGGCTGTCACCTACCGAAGGTGGCTCTCCGGCCGGGCAGGCCCTGCCTGCTCTGGAGGCTCTGCAGGACGCTGCTCTCGAAGGGCCCCGCGGGCCAGGACGGAGGCATGTCCGGGCTCATGTAGGCCGGGTAGGCGCTGGAGTAGGTCCCCCCGACGGAGCGCACCAAGGCGCCGCCGTACTGGTCCCGGCCGGCGCTGCCCAGCAGCAGCGGGCTCTGGTAGGCGCCGTCGCGGCCGGCCGCGCTGCTCACGGGCGGGCTGTGCGAGTACGAGAAGCCGGGCGAGGGGTGCGGGCTGCCCGCGTTGAAAGCCGCGCCGTCGGGGCCCGCCTGCGCCCAGCCCGGGTGGCTTTGCGGCGCCGGCCCGCGGGCCCGGCGG